GTTTTAGTTTCTAATTTTTTGGCCTGTATTTAATGTACTTAATGTATATATTTGTTTGTTTGTGTATATGTTACCAGTTTATGCAGCTTTATTGATTGTTTTGCTTGAGGTTTTTTAATCTGATGAGTTTTAATTTTCATAATAAAATAAAAATAAATAGGTGCATTAAAAAAACAGTTGCAGACGCTTCCTGTAAGGTGGAATTAAGATGAAGTGAGATGGCTCACACAGTAAACTTTATTATCCAGCTGCTGTGGATTAACACATCAGCAGAATTTATTTGTTAATTATATTCATAGAGAGAATTAATTGGCTGAAATTTTTGGAAAGTTGTTATCATATCTCTACCAAATGTCTTTATAGAGTTCATATAACACCACATGGGCTTGTCCAGGAGCTGAACCCGGGAGCTTGCACACCTAATCATTACCCAGACCAACAATCCACAGAAACAATGCAGTTTTAGCAATGTTGGAGCAAATACATGAAACACGACAGAAGAATGTACGAAAGAATATCTTGAAAGCCGATGCTAGCTAAATGTCCTGCAGCTGTATGTGAGGCATTCAGGGAACTTATGTGGAGAGAAATCTGTCTCAAAAGAGTGACAAATGCCTACAGTATGATCCACACACAAAAACAACTGACCACACAAACGTTCTGATCAGAAGGAGGCTTGTGAAAAATCTCAAGCTACAAGTTGAAGGAGCCATTTTAGTCGTTCAAGATAAAATGCCACATTTGTTAATTACAGAGTTCAGGACTGTTACATGTTACATTGTTACAAATAATTGGAGCCATAAATAAAAGACTAAAGAGACAAATGGGAATGTGGTTGCAATCCAAAGTCAGAGTAAGATTTTTTCCAGTTTCGCAGTCTTTTATTTACAGTCTGTTTCTTCTGGTGGTAAACCTGTTTCACATGTTTGGACCAAATTTTAGGCCTACATAGCTGCTGGTTGCAGCTATGTATGTTGTTTGCAGCAATGCTGCAAAGAACATCTTAAAAATACTAAATTCTTCATTGATTTGAGCTGTGGGGTATGCTACACTTGCCACAAACCCAAATCACGAGATCCTTGAATTCCATTTTTAATCTGAACAGAAACTTCCAAGGGTCTGTGGACAATGGATGACCATCCAGTCCAGCAGGTGGTGGTAATGTACCTTAAAGCGTTAACCGCCCAAAAATCCAAAAAGAACCCATACTCCGGAACAGTAGGAGGCGGTAATGCTCCTTTACGTTGGTTGCCAACCGCCGTTAAATACAAAGAAGAAGAATCCAAAAAGAAGAAGAAGACGACGAACGGGACAACGACGAAGAAGAAGCCACAGAGTTCCCGTTTCATTGCTGTTTGTTTGTTTTTCCCTTTCCCATCTAAAAGTAAGTGCCAATGTAAGTTTGATCTGAGTTTAGTCAATCTTGAGTCTAATGAAGTTTTCTGTTGCTCTCTGTGAGAGCGGGTGGGAGAAGACCGTTAAAGGCGAGGCTCTCTAGAGTGTAGCAAAACAGCCGGGTATGTGTATAAGTGTGCAAAACAATAGATTAGAAGTGGAAGTGAGCCAGGAGTATAGTATGGTCACGTTTTGTGAATTGTTTTTGTCACTACTGATCACGCGCTCAACACACACTCTACACGTGCTTGCATCACACACGCGCACTCTCAAGTATCAGTATTATACAATTCAGCTGGACTGGCCATCGGACATACCGAGCATTTATTTGTTTATCGCCCACTTTGCCCCAGAAAGAGGAAAACACCGTATGTTGGCGGAAAAGTCCTATAATGAAATACATTTATTTATATTAAAACACAGCTGCCTTTATCTTATTGGCGCAAAGTTGTGGCTGCCCACTGGGCATCTGATTCTAATAACAGGCCTCAGTCTCACCTGGTACTGCTGTGCCATACTGCTAAA